AATTCATCCTTTTTCTCATGTCACGTTTTATGCGAGGTGGTGCCCCAATGTGATTGAGAATTAATTAACAACTTTGGTATGACAGGCTTTTACAATTTCTAGTTAAAAACCAAAGGAAAATCCAATAACGACGCGTTATTATTCAGTAATGTTAGTTTGCCTCAAGGTTATCCAATGACATATACATACTAGCACACGCACGAAAGCGCCGTATCAACGTAAATATACATATTTAGCCTGCTAAGAAATCTAAAGTGCGGGGTTGGTGTATGGTTTTAAAAATACCGTATTGTTAAAACAAAGCAGAAAAAGATAACCCACAAACCAGCGACCCAACAGAGCAGATGAATAGGGAAAGGAATAATGAAAAAACGAAGCAGAAGGAGAAAAATGACAAAGTGTTGAGCGCTGATTTATCACACGAGCCCCTGGTCATTTCCATATATTGAAATGCGCCCAAGCGGCCAGTCAGTCAATTTTCTCCGAGCTGCTGCCCGCGGAAGGCGGGCACGTGACCGTCCCGCATTCCCTTCACTCTTCTTCCTCTTCAGGCGATATTTATTTATTTATTGTCACACATTTGTTGAACTCTCACAGAATACGACGCGCACCGTCGGGCAGCCGGACATTAAACTCCTTTTATGGAATATTATCCCTAATCAATCTATGACTAGAAGGACAGTGTAATTTGCCTCTCCCTATTCTTAAGATTGTGCAGTCGTTTGACCATTTCCTATAGGAATATCAGGCAAACGAAACAGCAACGCAGCCAGCATCACATAAAATGTTTTACTTCCGAACGGGACGTGACAGCGTTGCGGTATTAACATGGTCAGTTAAACACATTTTAATTCCCCCTGTCCATCATTCATCTCACGAGCGAGTCCCTTTGCGCGCGCACACGTGACAAAAATGGGTGATACATGACAGAATGCTCAGGTTCTTAGATGGATACTCCAATATATTTAAGAGCGACTGGGTGATTTATGATTGCATCAGTCCCACCTTCGTTTACATATTGAGATTCGCCTTGTCCACGCGAGGTTATGGCTGTCGGGGAATCAACGCTATTGAAGGTGGTGCTTTGATCAATATTGACTGTAAAGGAAGAAAGTAAATGGGAAAAGGGGGTGGGGGACGCTTTGTGCCAGCAGATGGAGAGGGGTCTAGGGAGAGGTCAGGGTTAGCGCTCTCTGCTATTGAATCGGCCGCAGCCCCCGAGATAGTTCCGCGGCTGGGAGGCATCTACAGGGCTATTCATAATCAGACCGAGTACAATATAGGCAGTCACAGAGCAGGGCGTCATCTGAATACGAAAAATGTCATTACTGTGATACCTTATACGCAGCGCACGTGATCTCAGTAGAATGTTTTTTTTTTTTTTTTTACAATAATGCGTTTGATGTTTACTGGTACGTATGTAAGTAGCCTGCCGTGATTCATTAAACACGCAAGATATACAACTTCATTTTCAAATTCCTCTTTAGTTATAAAGTGTGTAAGGAGTGTTTAGAGAGTATAAGATGGAATTACTCTCTTCGTTATCTGTTGCTCGATATTAATCATTATTAACCCTGTTGGGAGTTTCAGTGTCCCTTACAATGATACCTTTGGATGCAGCCAATTCAGTAGGTATATGTTCAAAGATCTTGCACTTGTCGTTTTTTTTTTGCGTCTCCCAACGGGGATAATTCTTGGAAAAGGGAAAGCTGGGGCAATATTGTCGTATCATTGTGTTTTTCTATACAAATTGTATTTCACGATTTCTACACGTCATCAGCATTCATTTGCATTTCAGAATTGAGAATGAGGGGGCATTTTTGGCATATAATTCAATAGATTTTTTACATTTAATTCAATAGATAACAATTACTGAAAGCGCCATATTTCTCACTGGCGTCTAGAATGTTCTCAGCTCTATTCATTTAATTTTCCCAGAGGCACATATATGGGGTACAAGCCTTCTTAAACACCTTCGCCTGTATACAGCGGTTATTTTTTTTACAGATTACATTTGTCGAGGTCTAGTTTTTGAAGCAACAGCAAAAGAGGGGAGTGAACTTCACATCTCAGTTGCCCTATATTGCTTTGAGACGTCCTCTTATAAGTGGGGACATCCATGCCCTTGTCAAAATCAGGCTGAAAACACTTTCTGCTTAGCGGATGTCCACGTGTCAGCTTTCACAACAGTTTAATATTTGCATTAATTTCGAATTCAGCGTTTCTTTCTAACCACTTTATATGCCAATATCGTAGATCTTCACACAGCAACAAACTCTTGATAAATCATATTATGAGACAACTTAGTTAACTGATAAAAGCTGCTCCATGCTTGGACTTAGTTCTGTAAGTTTCGAACATGATACATTGGCGATAAAGGATTAGTGATACATAATTAGTGTATTTTGTTTACACCAGGAAATGTCTCTTGTAGACACACACTGTTTATTACTTAGAAAGTTCCACGATTCTCAGTTAGTTGTTGCCTACTCGTACATACAAATCGATGCACTGCCTTCACGGCAAGTTTTAAGAGTTTCAGTTAATTATAGTGTTCAATAAATGAAACAGAGAAATACTTTACAGATCACTGTGCGTACGTCTTTTTTGACATTCTGCAGGTGAAAACAAATATATATATATATTTTTTTAAACCGAGCTAAAACCAAGTATAAGCGCATTTATTGTCTCCTGTTCTGTAGAATAACTTAAATGTGTGGTTTCAAATAACACGTATACTACGCGGGGAGCCGATTTTGGGGCGTTCGGGTCTGGAGTACTCATACTGCAGGAACTCAGTGCTTTAGATTATACAAAGGTATTAATTTAAATTATGCACGAAATGCAGCTCAGAGACTTCATGTTTATGGAAAGCCGAGAGTGGTGTACTAAACTTATCCGCACGACATGCGACAGAAAGGACCGACTCGATGGTTTCAGTTGTCAATGAAGAGAGCAACGTAACGATTCGCGTAACCGCAAATGATGAGGGAAAAAAGCATAGATGTACGCTTACAGGTCAACCGGTTCGGGTGTCTTTTTAGGTAATTATATGACTTTAACACCATAAAATATACGGCACGACGTAAATTACGAAACGGCCATTAATATTACATTTAATTACATGTCGTATATATATCATCCATACGAAGTGAAACCACAATGAACGTTTTAATACGGTTTTGTTATATTTTATTTGTTTAATAATTGATGCTGCAAAATGCACTTATTTTTATCCAGGTGATAAAAGAAGTCCCAGGCCGCGTACAACAGCAAATAGTAATGCATTATTTTTGGCATTAACGTTAGCAGATTACATTGCGATGCATACGCATCGCGTTCATTTATTTCCGCCAAGTAACGCAAGAAATCCTCTAAGCCCTCCCAACTTTGAAGCCCCGCAAAAAGCACAGAAAGAAGACACCGCAAAGCACTAACACACCGAACTTGACCGGGAAACGGATAAACTGACCTTGACCCGGCAAATATTTTCACTCACTCACTGTTCGCTTTTTTTCTCCGGCGCCCAGTTTCATCTCCTCTTATTCCCTCCATATAGCTCTCCCCTTCCCCCGCGCTGTACCAGTCCGCGTCTACAGCTCCTGGCTGCTGCAGCACGGCAATCCGCTCCTGTGATTCACTCACTCAGCCACTAGTGCAGTCGTAGTTTTATTACTTGACTCGAGTGTTTTTCACCCCATCTCATTTCGTAGCAAAGCAGCTGCGATCATGTCATCGCTTTTGTTATTTTCCTGGTGTCTCTTTAAGGTGTCATTATTTAGTCTGATCAGACAGTGTTTTTTTTCTCTCTTAAATTTCTATATCCATTTCATGAGTATATGTACACCCCCCCCCCCTCCCCCCCCCCC